ACCTTAGCCAAGATAAGTTATAAGTGGGAAGAGAGAATTCAAAGAAATAGTAAAGTACTCCAAAATAATTAATGTTATCACTTTTTGGTGGTGACAAGGAGATGTTCTTGGCCTCAGAGGCAAATGTGTACGTATTCAAATCAAATGCGTAAGAATTTCTTCTAAGCCCTTATGCCATTTGCCCCATGACATTTGCCAACTAACTCATCCTAGAGTAAGAACCAAGTCTGTAGCACTTGTCTTGTGGTTATTTTTGACTTCCTAGGCAGCCTCGTGAACCATCTCATACTCTTATTTTTTTATGAGTACATGTTTATGAGACATAATGATTACAATTCTTCATGGATAGCTGGTACATTCCTCTATATTACAACTTTTATGTTGGAATTATAGTGTTTCTAGATCACAAACAAATCCTTGCTCTTTTCATTATAGTAAGTTTCTGTTGAGTATAAAATAGATGAGTTCCTTTAACACATAGTATAAGGAGGGTTTTGTTTCTGGTTTGTTGGTGGTGGTGGTGTTTTGAGACAGGGTCTCACTATGCAGCTCATGCTGGCCTTGAGCTCACTATGTAGCCTAGGCTGGCTTTAGACTCCAGCAATCCTGCTGCCTCAGCCTCCCAAGTCCTGGGATTGTAGGTGTGTGCTACCATGCCTGACTGCATAGTTTAAGGTTTTAAATGTTATTAGAGGATCGTAAATTAGAAAAGACAATTAACAGAATTTTTTACATTGTTTCTAACCTCATACTAGGCCACAGTATTTATTAAAGAGTAGCTAGAGATAACTTCTTTCTCTCTTGTCCCAAGACTTTTGGTTTCTCTCCTTGGGGGCATATGTGAATATCCTTTTTTTCCCTGTATTTTAGGGAAAGGTCTACAGGGTATTCAAGTTAGACATGTTTTTTTGTGAGACAGAACTACTTATAAATTGCTCATTCACCTACTGACTCATCTTGATAATTTGTAAGGTGTTCAGGGTCTCAACACTGGATCAGACTCTAATGATCCACCTGTTTACAGCCTCCTAAAAGCTGAGATTACAGGCTCACACCACCACACCCAGTCTCAATTGCAGTTTTAGTGTACCCCGGGGGCAGGGCCGGCATGGCAGGCCCAAGGATGCAGGATCAAACCCCTGGCCCCTACCAAATGTGAATATCCTTCAAAGATTTTTCTATATACCCAAGACAAGAGATATACATATTCTTTGTTTTGTTTTGTTTTCATTTATGTATCTGGTACAGGGTCTCACTATGCAGCTCAGACTTGTGATCCTCCTGTTTTCAGCCTCCCAGGGCTGGGATCACAGGTGTGGTCTGCCACGCCCATTCTCAATTGCCATCTCAGCCCACCCTGGGGGTGGGGCCAGCACGGCATAGAGGTGGGACTGGGGAATGGAACCCTGATCCCTGCACTTGCCAAAGCAGCCACTTAGCCCACTAAGCTATCTCTCCAGCTCTTGATATACATATTCTTTAATTTCGCTTTCCCATACACATGGTAGCCTGTTCTTCACACTGTAACACTCCTTGCTTTTTGCAGTTAACATTAAATTGGAGCCAGGGAGATGGCTCAGTAGAATAAGCGCTTCCTTGGCAAACACAAGGGCCTGAGTTCAATCCCTGGTTCTGCCAAAAAAGAAAAAAAGAAAAAATTAACGCTACATCTTTTCCAGTGGAGAGGGGTGCTGGTGTACCCCCAGCCCCCACTTTGTCCTACATCTTGAAGTTTGGTGTGTGTCCGGCTACACAAAGAGCTTCCTCTTTCTTTCTGACAGATATCTGGTATACCAACAAATGGATACTTTAATGAATCCTCTATTAATGCACAGTTGGGTAGTTTCCAGTCTGCTTTGAATGGCTAGCTTGTGTTGAATACTGAGCTCTGTTCTCTGTGCTTCACATAAATCATTTTATTTAATCCTCAGCGCTGCAAGGCAAACCTTTCACATATAAAATGTCACACAAAGGGAGAATATATATATTATCTGAATATGCGGATGGATTGTGTCATAGTATGGCTGTAGTTTGCATTCTCCTTGTTATGACTCAAGTTAAGCATTTTTTTTGTTAGCCAGCATGACTTATAAATTGCTCATTCACCTACTGACTCATCTTAATAATTTGTAAATCCTCTGTTAGAGAATTTAGACATTGCCTATGATGTAAATTGCAAATGTGCTTTTAGTTTTGCTTATAGAATTTTGCCATGCAGAATTTTAAAAATTATATAATTGAATTTATCAACATTTTTGGTTTTGGTTTTATATCATTGTTAGCCTAAGATTAGAAAAACACAATTTCCCTGGGTTTTTTTCCCTCATACTTATATAGGTGTTTGTCTTTTTTGTATTTGAAGTTTTGATCTGTTTCAAATTTATCTTGGTATAAGGAGTAAAGGATAAATTCAACTTTGTGTTTTAGATGGCTGCCCGGTCTAATCAATACTAATTTATCTCACAAATTAGAGATGCCACTTTTTATGATAAGCTAAGCTAAATTCTGCTAACAGAATTTTAGAATGAGGCAGTGTGTATTATTTACTAATGTCAAGTTTGGACCTCCTCTCCTTAATAACCACGCTTCCTGAGAAAGTAATTACTGAGCTTATTATTTTCTACTGGAAAAAAATTACATACCAAGCTTGTGAGAGTACATTATCTGAGCAGACATGTGTGTGGCTTTCAGCGAAAGAAATCAATTCAGGGCAAATGAAAATGCCAAGGGAATTATTTAATCTGTTGCTTTTAAGAATAATTTTAGTTTTGTTTTATGGAAGTGGACGGGCAGTTACGTAGTAGAAAAAACACTGGACTAGGAGACAGGTGGCCTGCCAACCTTGGTTTTATTTGTTTGTTTGTTTTGCTCTTTTTATCCCAATGTGGTCTCTTCATAATTAAATAATAATGATGAACACAGAATATTACCTGGCCTGCAGGAAGTGTTATCTGTTTATTAATCATTAATTCCATGTAATTAATAGTTTGTAATTTGTTATAAATCATCAAATGTTAAATATTATTATTAAGACAATGTCAACAGACCTTATCTCTGTCAAAACAAAACCCAGCAGCAAACTCAATATTGTTATGAACCACATACATGCTATAAATTCAATAGTTACAGAAGAAAGAATGAGTGTCGCAGAGAGCCAATGGCTTCAGTCCCTTCACGTATGCAGTTTTTTTGATCTGAATGCCCTTCTCCTAATACTTTAAATGTATATGCTTCTTTTCGTTTCCTTTCTTTTCTTTTTTTTGTGTGTTACCAGGATTTGAACTCAGGACCTTATGCTTGCCAGGTAGGAATTATGCCCTTGAGCTATCTCCCCAGCTCTGTGCTTTTCTGTAAGGACTCTATCACAGATCATCTTGTGGCTTCTCTTCCAGGTAGAATGGTTCCTCTAATTTTCTGACTCCTGAACACTTTATATACCTTGTTGGGCCAGGGAGATGGCTTAGTAGAATAAGTGTTTGCCTGGCAAGTGCAAGGGCCTGAGTTCAATCCCTGGTTCTGCAAAAAAAAAAAAAAAAATCCTCAACACTTTATATACCTTGTTATGCATGATTATACATATAGCTTCAATAGTCTTTGTCTCATCAATTAGACTGAACTTTTTGAGCCCAGGGCCTATGTTTTATTTTATCTTTGTATCTCTGCTCAACTACTGACGTACTTCCTGGCATATGGCAGATATTCACTTGAAAGAAAAAATATTTGACTCCATGTTTATGCAGTATCCTGGTTGATTAAAAGGCAATAATAAGAATCAGCATATTAGCCCTGATAGCCAGTAAAACCAAATTTATTCATCAATTTTATGTCTGAATGTATGAGACCCTGAACCCAAGATATTAAATGGTTTATAATAGCTTATTTTAAATGTGTGATCTAATGGGTAAAAATCAGCTGATTTCTGTAATTGAATGTTTGACCTATCACATTTTTTTGTGGTAGTGGGAATTGAACCTTGCATGTTATTTTTAAGAGTGGGTACTTGCTAAATAAAAATCTTGATTCACATGAGCTTAGATCCCAGAACTCAGGAGGCTGAGGCAAGAGTATCGTTGCAAGTTCCAAACCAGCCTGGGCTACAAAGTGAGCTCAAGGCCAGTCTGAACTGCATAGTGAGACCCTGTCTCAAAAAAAAAAAAAGAAAAGAAAAGAAAAAGGAAAAGGAAATTAGAAAATAGACATGAACATCACACTTGACATTCAGACTTTTCCTAGTTATAACTATCTGGAACATATTCAAGAACTCAAGAAGAATCCAAAAATGCCTCTGAAGCTTAAAGAAAAGAGCTCTCATAAATCCTGTGTACTTGATATTGGGCGGGCGGGCAGGCAGAAAGGGACTGCTACACGTGCCAAAGCCTACTTACTGACAGAATTTTCATAGAAAACTCTTAAGGACTGCTTAGCAAAGCGTGGCTCTTCAGCTTTCTTTCAAGACATTTTAGGTTGTCTTAAGTTTCAGTGAAAAAACACATTAAAAGAAATCTCCCAACCGCTGGTGCCAGAAGGTGCTAAATAAAGCATTGTTGACATGAGTGTAAAAGTGATTCTCCTGTTTTTCTCCTATAAATCATGGAAACTCACTTTGTTTCTAGTCTTTAAGAATCTGATGGGGTTATATAAAATAAGTCTTGGCAATACTTAATTTTTCCACTTTTAAAATCTGGGTTTTAAAAAAATGTTTCTTTCAATCTCACCTTTGTGAAAGGATAATTAATTTGAAAAAGGCTTTATTTGTTTCTTCAAGTATTTCTGCAGTTTATCACAGGTTGAAATCCTGAGCATGAAAGGAGTATGTCTAAATTTCTTTGCATACTTTGGAATAAGCTATGCAAGTAAGCTAAGTGGCAAGGTCAAAAGGCATGTTTCGGCAATTTGAAGAACTATTTTCATGCATGTTAAACGTGCTTTTTTGTGGAAAGACTGCAGAGTAAAGAAAATCAGTATCATTAAGTTTCTGTTCTTTCTCCTTCTATTTCTAGATTGCCAAAATGTTTTGGAGTTTTTAACTGAACCTAAGAAAAGTCCAAAATAGATTGGAGACTATAAAAACAGAAGCGGCGGTGCGAGGGATCCAGTGCCAATGCATCAACCAAAAAGACAGCCAGAGTTAGTGGAAGGAAATCTTCCTGTTTTTGTGTTTCCCACGGAGCTCATATTTTATGCAGATGATCAGTCAACACATAAGCAAGTGTTGACTCTGTATAATCCCTATGAATTTGCCTTGAAGTTCAAAGGTGAGTCACTACATCTGCCTTACGAAGCCTTAACTAGTCCCTACTAATTTTTTATTTGTAGAAACTAGTTGTTTTAAAACCACTAATGGCCACTGTGACTTTTTTTTTCAGTTTTGTGTACTACTCCAAATAAGTATGTTGTCGTTGACGCTGCAGGTGCGGTAAAGCCTCAGTGTTGTGTGGATATGTAAGTCAAAATCACTTCCTGGTAACACATTTTCAGTGTGTTAATATTTATGCTTTGAACTTGAAAAAGATCTTTCTGTGAAGCTGTTCTCTCATAGGCATTTGTAATCTTTAGATCGTTTACTGAACAGTACCAAAATTTAAGAAGTTTCTGAGTGATTTTCAGCAGACCAGCCAAATCCTCTTTCATTATGTTGGAGCTAATGTATGAGACAGTAGCTCCTTGACTGTTTCCTCAGTGTGGCTTTAGTTGAAACAGAGATGTTGATGAAGTCACTTGTTCTTTTGATGTCTTCAGCTATAATAGGGAATTTGGCTTTCTTTGGAACATCCTGCAATTACTGTGACATTTGGGAAACTAATAATACTATGGCATAAAAACAATGGTAACATAAGTTCATTCGAAATGATTCAGCTAATAAGGCTGGAAGTTAGTCTAGATAAGCAGGAAGCAAGGGTGTAACTACTCATCTGTAAAAGGTTATCTGAGCGCTTCCAGACAATTTCGTCTTAGACTGTCAGATAAATGATTGTTTGTTCAAGCTGTTCATATTTAATTTTCACTTTAGAACTAGTGGTGACCATATGGATCCATTGATCAGCCCTTAATTTAAGCCACCAAGTAAACTGTATTTGTTAAAATCTTCTGTTAGAATGAGATGCAGTATTTTCTTTGCTTGAATATATTGGCATCATCTCAAAGCCGTAAGTTGATGTATATTTGAGAATGTGTTTTTTACACATTTCTCTGAATTTTCATTCCATGCATAATAAGCAAGGACTATTTCCCCAGAAAGGTAGCTGTATCAAATAAATGTGTTATCCTTGACAAAACTGTTCTGTGTTCCCCAGGAAGAACAAAGTACAATAAATTATTGCAGAAAGCTTACAAATGGCAGTGCTTTATACTCCTTCTCTTTTAAGAAGTACAGAGGTGTATTAATAGCGCTCTGGTGCATTGAGCATAGTGAACTAGCCACTTAAGCAGTTACTTTTTTTTAACCTGTGTGTAAATCAGTCCTGAGTCTTGAATGAGCTTTGTTACTTGAATAATAAATTAGTGGCAAAAGAAATTTATGGTATCCTTGTAGGAGGAAGCTATTTCATACCTTCCTATTGAAGAAATACTGCTTTACACCACTATCTTTTTAAAAAAGTCATTTAAAGAAAACTTACTTATAATTCTTAAGAATATTCTATATTTTATTTATTTTTACCTGAGCTTCCCCTCTTCTATATTTTAGAATATGTGCTTTTGTCACATATTTGAGAATTTTCTATTTCTGGCCAGGAGTGATGACACACCTGTAACCCCAGTACTCAGGAGGCTGAGACAGGAGGATCGTCATGAGTTCAAGGCCAGCCCAGGCTTCATACATGGCCAACCTGAACTATGTAGTGAGGCTTTGTCTCAAAAAGAGTACCTATTTCTTTTGGGCTATATTATGATTTTTTTGCAACAGTAAATTTCTAGTTTTGAGTATTTGATTGTATAGTTAATATTTTACTGTGCTAAAATCTTTTATTGCATTCTGTGTGACTGGTCTCCAGAAACGTAAATATGTTTTCTTTTTTTCCTTTTTTTGGCCATTTTCAGTGTGATTCGTCATAGAGATGTTCGATCCTGTCACTATGGTGTGATTGACAAATTCCGTCTCCAAGTTTCCGAGCAAAGCCAGAGGAAGGCTTTAGGAAGGAAAGAGGTTGTTGCCACGCTTCTCCCGTCTGCAAAAGAACAGCAGAAGGAAGAAGAGGAAAAAAGAATAAAGGAACATTTAGCTGAAAGTTTATTTTTTGAGCAGTCATTTCAACCAGGTAGTATTGGGTTGTTTTTAAAGCCCTCGGGGGTTCACTTATGCATTGCTATATAATCTAAAAGCTAAGGAAACTTACTAGAAAGTGAATCTATTGCCTTAAACCTAGTCATCTTCACACTTGAACCTAGACAGAAGGCTCCCTGGAAAAGAGCAACAGACCCAGAACTTTTGGAAGAGAAGATGGCACCCACTAAACTAGGCAGTAAAGAAGGGGCAAATGTTATTATAGATATATAGTGTATGTTTTATATATAAATAAAAAGCCCTTTTATTAATGCACTTTTAATATTTAATTGCTATATGTGTAAATATAAATATGTGTATGTATCATTAGAGATTATATATCTACAAAATATAAAATTGGAGACTGCAGCCACCATATTTTATGATACTGGCATAATTTGACAATAATGTACTTTTGTTTCTATGACTTTCTTCTATCCTTTCTCATTTGATTAGTTCAAAGGAGGAGAGAAATTGTGTTTGGCAATAGGCCAAGTTTAGTGTGCTGTTCATATTATTTTGAAAAAAAATCTCATTAAAGTTGAAGTTAATTAAACTAAGTAGATTATAATATCCCCTGTGGGCTATTAATTGAATCCCTCTCCACTTCTCATTTCCTTCTAGCTTAGATATTCAGAAGTGTTATGATATATTCTTTCAACATTGACAGTATCCTCATATTTATCTCTTGGGACATCATTCCCCCTCCATCCTAATTTCTCATCCTAAACCTATTTATTATAAGAGGAGGGAGACAAAACATTTTCCACAGAAAACAACCTTTTTTTGATGGTGTTTTATGAATGTATTAACAGCTGTCCGTAAAATTGTAGCCTATTACATAGGAATGTTTTTTAAAATTTACTTGTCATTAGATTAATTCATAGACCCACATCAGTTTATTTGTCTTCAGATGTCTACTCACTGTAGCCAAGTGTCTTATCACTCCCTGTGGAGAAGGCCCAGATTTATTTCCTGGTGATACTAGGGCTAGGGATGAGGTAGTAACTAGTAGATTGTTTTCTTCTCAGCAACTATTGGTTGCTCTTTCATTTTTTTTTTCATTTCTAAAGACAATATAAAATGGTAAAAAAGTTAGAAATGATACATAATTTCACTAAACAAGATGATAGGCATTCAACAATGACTATTATATTGCATGGCAGGACCATGTTTTTATCTTTTGAGGAAAGAGAACATTTGTCAAATATCATTTTGTCCGATAAATATTGTGAAGTTCACATGTGTGAAATACAGGGTTCCCCCTTCAAAATGCTTCCTGCAGTAATCTCAGCTCTTGGGCTGCTGATGCAAGAGAATTGCTGCATGTTCAAGGTCAGCCTGAGCTATAGTAGTGAGTTCGAGGCCAGCCTGAACTAGATAGCAAGTTCTTGTCTCAAAAAAAAAAAGCCACCTGGAAAAGAACAATTTCTTAGAATTCAAGTGAAAATCAGCCTAAGACATTACATGATTATATCATTCTTTTATCTTTACAATAAACATTGGCATCTGAAGTATAGGAGAGAATTTTAATCGTAGTGTTGCAGTAGGTAGATGAAGGAGGTAGAGTAGATAGAGATGGTAGGTGGAGTAGGTAGACCACAGTGGTGGTCTCTGTTTTAGGGGAAGAATCTTTAAGCTATTGATATCAGGAAGCTCGCCGAAGGCAGACACCTTCTTTGTCTCATTTACCGTTCTGCCCCCAGTGCAGCCTAGTGCCCAGCACAGAGTGGTTACATGAGAAGTGCATGACTGCTGACCGGGGCCTTTCAGTGTGATGATAGCTTAGACTATGTGGGCAAATTGACAGATTTTAACTTCCCTTATCTAATAATTTAGTAGTAATTCATGGGTGGTTTCTAGTAGGTAGAATGTTCAGGTTTTCTCATTAACTTTATCTGAACTAAAAATGTTCAAATAAATTAAGATTATGTTGTGGCAATTTTTTCTGAGAGGTTTTTCAGTGTCATTTTTGGCAAGATGTTAGCTTAGAAAGCTCTTCAAGTACAGCAGGGTTAAGAAGCCCACTGTGAGCTGGAAAAGGACCAAAGGCTGCTTCAGGGAAAGTTTCCATTTTAAAATATGTTGAAAATCAGTAAAATGAGACATTTTTAAGTTTAGTGTATAGAAGACATCTGGCAATAACAAACTCAAAAAAGAAAGCACCTATAGTGCCACACATTTCACAAATCTGCGTACGTAAGTTAGGTTTTCCATGTTAACTTTCTAGACCTTGCCTGTGTGCATAAATACAGTTTTGTATCTTGTTAGGTTTTGGTTTTGGTTTTTGTTGTTCTGATTTTTCTGAGACAGGGTCCCGCTAGTAATAGTAGTTCAGGCTGGTCCTGAACTCACTATGTAGCCCAGTCTGGACTTGAACTCAGAGCAATTTTTTTGCCTCAGCCTCCCAAGTGCTAAAATTATGGGTGTGTGCCACCATGACTGGCCTCTTGTCAGTTTTTTTTTTTAACAGAAATTTAAGTGTTAAATAAACAAAAAAACTTTGATAAAATCCAAGAGCCCAAGTTATTAAAAAGACAATTTAAAAGATCTAACTGAATTTTGCTGGATTTGTCTTAATTGCATTATTAATGAACTCCTGTGTCTTTCCTGTCTTTGAGTCTGTGCCTTCTGGCTTAAGAAAATTATGACTTTTATTATTGTTGATAGTAATAAAACTTTAAAATGACCTAAGAGCCCATCAATTGGGAATTGATTAAATTATGAATGTTCGCAAGATGGAATGCAAGGCAGGAATTTACAAAGAACTGATAGAATGATGTTTATATCTTGATACAGAAAAAGCTTCAGATATATTTCACATTGGTCAAGATTGCTGTGTACCTGTAATCCAGCCATCAGGGGGGTGAGACAGGACGTTCTTGAGTTTGAGGATAGCCTGTACTGCACAACAAGTTTGAGGCCAGCTCATACCAAGTCAGACGCTGTCTCAAAAACAGTATGAAGGTTTCTAGTATATAGAATATACTCCTAGTATATTCTAGTATATATGAAGGTTTCTAGTATATAGAATATGAAGGAGACTGCCAAAGTTATATAACAGTATCTATGATATGATTTAATTTATGTAAAAACATACATTTGTAAAGGTAAAATATAAAATCTGAAAGGATATACACCAGGCTGAGAAGATGGAATGATGGAAAAATTCCTTTTCGATTGTGTTTGCTTGGTGTGTTTTGTTTTGTTGGATTTTGGAGACAGGGTCTCACTATGTAGTTCTGGCTGGCCTTGAACCTCCTGCCTCAGCCTTCCAAGTATTTGTTGGTCTTATAGGCAGGCACCACTATGCCTGTCCTGTTTTGGTTTTTCTACAATATTTTTTTTTTTGAGGAACCGAGGATTGAACTCAGGCCCTTGAGCTTGCCAGGCAAGCGCTTATTCTACTGAGCTATCTCCTCAGCCTCATGTTTTGGTTTTTGAGACAGGATCTTGCTTTGTAGTTTAGGCTGGCCTTTAACTGACTATAGAGCCCATGCTGGTTTTGAATTTGCAGCAGTCCTGGCTCAGCCCTCTGAGTGCTGGGATTACAGGCATGTACCACCACTCCCACTTTTGTTTTCCATAGCTTGTAATATTTTTACAGTGTTCACATTCATATAGTGCCAGGGAAATGGCTATTTCCATTCTGAAAAATTTCAAACATTTATGCAAATATTTTTGGAATTTCTATAAACACTAAATCGTCTTTAGAATTATCTTACCATAAATTTGAAGTAGGCAACATAATTTTCATAAATAAACATTTCCTTGAATTTATCATTTAACAAATATAAATCCAAAATTACTTCATTAACTAAGACTTTTTTTTCTGTATTTTAAGGAAGGATCTACAAGGTGTTCAGGGTCTCACTACTAGATTGGATCTACCTGTTAGTGATCCACCTGTTTACAGCCTCCCAAGTGCTGGGATTACAAGCTTGCGCCACCATGCCCAGTCTCAGTTGAGATCTCAGCTTGCCCCAGGGCGGGCCGGCACCCCAGGCAGGGGAGATGGAATCCCCAGCCCCTGCGCCTGCTTGCAGGCCCTTTAATCTGCTGACCTATTTGGTTGGCCCTATGACTTGATTTTTTAAGGTATTTTTGCTATTGGTTTATTCCCAGGTATAACCAATTTGAATTTTTTTTTTTGTTACCTGCCTACCTTTGGTAAGGTTTAATTAAACTCTACAATAGCTAGGATTTAAATGATTTAGAAAAGTGCCATTTATGAAAAGAATGAACAGCTATTTCATTAATAAAACACCTACATTGTGTTGCCATAGGCTATCACTTTAATGAAAGGAAGATTAATGGGAAAAAACCATATAACAGAAAATGTTGTTGGGTTTCTTAAAAAGCAAGGTATGTATATTGTACACGTATAGTCAGAACATTAGGCTAGCAGGCTTGTTAAGAGCTGATTTACATTTTTATTTTATTATGAGAACATTCAACTTGAGCTCAACCCTCTTAACATTGAAGTGTGTAATATTAGCTATAGGACAAGGTTGTGGTGCTGCTCTCTAGGTCTTCATCGTGCATAATTGCGATTCATGCCCATTGATTGGCAGCTCACATTACTCTCTTCAGGCCCTGGCAACCACCATTCTACTCTCTGATCTTCAAGTTTTGACTATTTTAGATATTTTCATTTAAGTGGAATCATGTACGATTTGTTCTTCCTTGGCAGCCTTATTTTCACTTAGCATAAATTTGCCAGGTGTTGTTTCTGCTGCTTTCTTCTGTACTATAAATGAGGTAGAGCAGCAGGGGACAAGAAATTTCATAAGCAGGTTTATAATAACATTAATATTTTCAGAAATGGAAGCAGGATGCTGCAGTTATTAGAATCAAGCCTGCCTGGTGACCTCCCTAAGATACTGGCAGAAGGTAGTACAGCGTCGGTGCAGTGGGCTGAAATAAGGTCCAGCTCAGATGAAGCCCTAGGTTATGGTTATATCCTGCTCAACCCATTATCGGTTCAATCCATGGAATAGTCCAAAACTACTGCATTTCATGGCTTAATTATACAGTGTACTGCAGTTTGTTGGTTGCCCCTGGCAACCACGTGGCTGATTGGGAGCTACAGCTCACTGCTTCTGCTCAGTGTTGCGAGATCATGCCACATATCATTATCCCAGAAAAGACCAAAATTGGAAAGCCTGGGAACGTGGCTTCTACTGAATGTGCAACTCATTTGTATTGTCATAGATTCAAGCCATCTTGAGTCAGTTACAATACTATAAAGGAAGAAAATCCTGGAAAGTAATTTGCTTTTAGCACTGTTTTTAGGATCCTATTTGTATGTTTTATATTAAGCATACTAGTACAGCAAATTATGCAGATTATTTATGAATATACATGTACTGACAGCACCTGCTTGAACAGTACTGATGAGGGTGGGATGTGGCAGCAAGGAAATCACTACATCACTGTTCCAGGACACCACTGTAGGAAGGCTCAAAGCACTTAAGTTGCGGGCTTCCAGATAAGTGCAGCAGATAGGTGTCCATGGGGTGGGAATGATGGGGAAGGAATCAGAGAAGTTGGCCACAACAGAATCCTGTTGAGTGGGGG